GTTCGCTGCAACACCATCTTAATAAGAAAACGTATGCAAATGTGGAAGGAGTTAACGAGGACCTCGACATGTGTTTTGCTTCAAAGCCAGGGATTTCTTTAATCAGGGCATTAGCAATCTGATCGTAAGATGGAAAAGCACCATCGATAAGAATGGAGACTATTTCATTTAATAAATGTTTTGTTCGGATATACAAGTTGTTCGGGTTTTTTCCATCTAAAAAAAAGCGACATGATTTTCTTGACGACCTAATACATCTGTGAAGGTTTCTTTTAAATAGAATAATTTCTTTGTTCCGTAAATATAATAAATATTTCTGCCACCAATTACCCAAGGTACTATATATCTTTGAGTGAGTTGTTATACGAAACTTAAGTTATTTTATGTTTCATAACGTTACGACATTTTCCTTCATTGTTTTTAATACTTGTGATGTCGGCTATTTGAATTAGAACATGACTTTGCTAAATATTCAAAATGGTGTTACTGACCTAAATACAAATACCTATAAATTAGTAAATGTGAGAGAAAGATTTCGTTTTACATCCAGCGTCTCAAGTATGAGCTCTTCTTGATTTTACTGTGTCTTGTAAGAGATCAAGAATATGTCGAAACTATTTATTGAAGCTAGTTCTTTTCTTAAGTGAACTTCCATATAGCATTTACATATTATACTTTTTCCAATGTTTTTATCAGTTTTTAACTAGACGGTAGTGTGAATAAATGCACAACTAACCGATCAAACAGTTTTATTAGATCTGTAAAATGAGCGTGAACGATGTTCTGAGCTTAATGCTTACTTTTACCGTTAGATTCTTTAAATGCATGATATAGTTGACGTCTTACCTTAGGTTTGCATTGATAATCTTCAGTAACTCCAATGTTACAGTTGACGTCCTATCTTAGGTTTGCATTGATAATATTCAGTAACTCCACTGTTACAGTTGACGTCTTACCTTAAGGTTTGCAGTGATAATCTTCAGTAACTCCATTGTTACAGTTGACGTCTTACCTTAAGTTTGCAGTGATAATCTTCAGTAACTCCATTGTTACAGTTGACGCCTTACCTTAAGTTTGCAGTGATAATCCTCAGTAACTTCATTGTTACAGTTGACCTCTTACCTTAGGTTTGCATTGATAATCTTCAGTAACTTCATTGTTACAGTTAACGTCTTACATTAAGTTTGCAGTGATATTCCTCAGTAACTTCATTGTTACAGTTGACCTCTTACCTTAGGTTTGCAGTGATAATCTTCGGTAATTCCAAAAGCGGTTTTCAGCCACGTCTTGAAAGAGGGAAACTTCTTGTTTGCTAGAGGATACCTTGAATATGTTACAATAAAACAATCAGTAATTATACTAATTATGTAACAATAATAAACGTTGCCTCTTTTCCTCAATTCTCTATTTATTAAGCAACGTTTCTACATCGCTGAAGCGTCTTGTTTAACGTTCTAGAGCTTCTTAAATTATATATTGATAAAATATCTCATCCAGTTTCTGCCAAGATAAATATAGAGTTCTATATTTCTATAAGACAAATATATTAATTCAATTGCTGAAACACATGCAGTCGGAAAAAATTGATTAATCTACTGATTACTGAAATGTGTAATTATCTAGATGAGCGTAATATCAAAAGTTACACTGTAGATAGATGCAGATATATAGTTTCTCATATACATATATAGAAATTTTGTTAAACAAGACCGAT